ATTACATTTATATTACAGTCACGCCTAAAGGCCACAACCAAATTAGGTTCTATTTTGCTGGGCTCTGTCCAAATACATAATAAACGACGTTCCCTGCTCTAAAGGCCTAGCAAGATCTCCGAGTACTTCATCATATTTGGAGGGTCAGTTTCTGCTTTTAGTTACACTAATGTAAATTCGGTGTAACTATTAACTCAAAGCAAAATTTGATGCAATGTACATTAATATGTTATTGGCAGAGTTGGGAGGGATTTCTACAATTAAAATGGACTGACACTCTATTATGAAACCTTCTTTCAGTTGCTTGTATAAACCTGCCAAACTTTTAACTCTTTGGGTTGAAATTTTCCACAGTAGATGTCTGCCTGTGCCTGAAGGTTTTTTGAGTGTTTTCCATAAAAGTTACTCAGCTGTTTTCTGCATACGGGGAAGGAGAGTAGAGTGGTTTCTTGCTACTGATGGAACTTGTACATCTGTTCTGTTTTGAAGCTTTAATATGTTTATGCTTTAGTGAAGGGTTTTACATATTGTCTAGGTTCAAAAAGGTACATTTTTTCCTAATTTGTAATAATAATTTTAAATATACATGAAGTTTCTCTCTGGTATACCCAGAGATGTGTTTGTGAAGGTAAACTAACTGATAGATTTTTAAAAAGACTCTGATGAAGAAATGGTGCATATGAAACAATAAGACAAAACTGATAGGAATGTTTATTTTGTCTTTGAATTTAAAGTAATAAAAAAAGTAACCTTTTCTAACGTCATTGTTTAGATCCATGCTAGGGATGTAAATGAGGAGCAAATATGCAGAAAGTGAAAACACAGTGTGCTGAAAGGACAGTTTAAAAAGCTAGATTATGTGATGATTTAGGTTACTATTGGACATTAATATAAGGTAAATTTAGGTTATTTTTGGAGATAAGTTTTCTTGAGAATAATTGTAGAAGCAATGATTGAAAATACATTGTTAAAATTGAGATGGCAAATTTAAATTGAATTAATATTTTTTTCCCCTACAAAAGATGAAATCAATTTTCCTCAATATTAAGAGTACCTGCTGTGTGAGTTTTCTAAAAGCATACTATTGTAAATCTTAGTTCTGTTAAATAGCTGATATTCATATAAAAGTGATCACAAATGTGCCACAATATCATGTTTTATTTTATTGTTAATGATCACTGTAAGAAAAATTTCAGACTGCTTACATTATTCACAGAGTATTTTGCACATTTTATACATATTCAAGTGCATCACCACTGTCTTTCTAATTGAACTAATGGAAAATTATTTATTCAATGTTAGAGAAGAACTAACATTTCAGTTCTAAACCTTTCATGAAGGATTGTTCTTTTAAAATAGCTGTTACCTCTTCTTGTTTCTTCATACTCTTTACTCAATAGTCCTTACCTCATTATAGCAGGTGAGGTTGCTATAATTTGTGAAGGAAGCATATTTCTGTAGTCCCATTAGAAATAATGAAGATTTTGGTCATTTTGAATGTCTCATCTGACAGAGATTCTATGCATCACTGCCTTCTGGTGAAAGATAAATTTTCACTAGAAAAGAAGAGACACCAAAGTGAGCAGTAAGTCCTCAGATTTAACTTCAGTAGAGGAGAAAAAACAGCATTTAAGGATTTTTTACAGGGGAATAAGGCAATGTGGAAGACAATGTTTGCATGACAGAGGAGATTACAGAGTACAGGGATTTTACACAGCTTTGGGAAAATAAAGCAGGTAAAATGCACCTGCTTATTGTATACAGTCATAATAGTATAGAGTTAGGATGGTTTGCATGTTCTGTTTTATGTATGTGATATCTTGTGCATTTAACTCTGAGTGTCTTTCATTTAATTTCATTTCTTGACTTTGATTTTGACATGTAATATATATAATGTATTTTTAATTAAATTTTTAGCATACATTTTTACTCTTAGAAGCGTTTTAATTTTTAGCTTTTGACTTTAGCGTTAGATAACTGCTCATGTACTTGTGTGGCATTTTAAATAGAATGCTGCAAGGAGATTATTGTCTTTAGTTAATAAAATCATTATCACTTAATTTATCACTATAATGAGAAGAAAACCAGAAGATTTTAATCCCTCATGTGTAATTCACATAAATACTTCATCCTCCATCATAATAGTACCATTAGAGACATTGCAAAACACTGTGCCATATGGATGTACCTATCTAGCTAAAAATGTGAGTTACTATATGGACTGCATTATGTGTTATGCAGACATTCAGTGATAGTCTGGATTTAAGAGAAGCTCCATATGAAGGGTACATTCCTCTGATGGATGCCTGCTTGTTGGCATAAACCTCCAGTTTGTAAATTTAGAACTCCCAAGGTGGATAAACTCTCCTTTCCTCAGCACAACTCCATGAAACCTTGTGTCTTTGTATTTTTTTCTGAGGAAGGGTGTGGTGAGTTGACCCCATCCAGCAGCTAGGCCCCCACCCAGTCGCTCGCTCACTGCCCCCCCAGGGATGGGGTAGAGAATCAGAAGGGCAAAAGTGAGGAAAACTCATGGGCTGAGGTAGACCATTTAGTAAGTGAAGGGAAAAGAAAGAAGAAGCGAACAACAGATCAAAGTCACTCACTCACTATTTCCCACCAGCAGACTGTTGCCCAGCCAGTCTCTGGGCAGTGGCTACTTTGGAAACACCCCCACCCCAGTTTTACTGCTTAGTATGATGTTATAGGGTATGGGATATCCCTTTGGTCAATTTGGGTCAGCTGTCCCTGCTGTGTCCCCTCCCAGCCTCTTGCCCACCCCCAGCCTACTCAGTTGGGTGGCAGGTTGAGAAACCAAGAAAGCGTTGATGGTGTGCAAGTACTGTTCAGCTTTTTACTGGCCAGACCTTACAGAAGAGGCAACACATTTTGAACTTGAGATTTAAGATAGCCTATTTTATCTTTTCTGTAGACACATTAATGCTTTTTTTTTGTTTCTCTAACTGATAGAAAATGAGGCTTATAAACAGAAATGTGCTGGATTATAAGAGCTGTGTTTTAAAACAGGTACAGCACATACAGAGAAAAAGAGGTCATGGAGGATAAAAGTGTTTTGAGAGAAGAAACAAGAATGAATGTGGCTAGAAAAATAATGCTACAGGTTACACTTATTAATGCAGAAATAACAAGAAAATAATATAATAAGGAAATATATTAAATGGTAGCATGTGTTTGTATGCAAAGCTATGTTGTGTCTAGATGTATTTGCTGATGATAAGCTACACATTTTAATGTTAATGTATCATTTTAATGTATGTTCTTGAGAGCTACACGCTTAGACTCTGACACGTCTGACAGTCTAGAAGTATCTTTTATTCAAAATGAAATTTCTAACAAAAAAATAAGGATTTTTGCTCATTTTCTTTAACTGACACTCTATACAATCCTTGTTCATATCAAACTCCTGTTAATTCTTTTTTTTTTCCCCTGAGTAATTACTGAAGGTTAAATTCTTTTTTCAGTTGCTTTCAGAAAAATCTGGAGTAATGCAGGTCATTGTGCATGGCTGTATTTACTTGTTTATGTATGTCACACATTACTGGGACTGAGGCTTTAGGTGAGCCTTAGGACTCAGGACAGGGGAAAATTTGGCTTTGCTGTACCTATTAGTATAAATTCAACACTGGGTCTTCCAGTAGTGCTTATGGGTGGACAGGGATATGTCTATCTGTCCATGTCTTCTGTGCATGTCTCAGTGCTTTTTGTCAAATTCAGATGGCTGACTTTAGACACAGAAGTTGTCTGGGTTTCCTTTTAGAAAGGGTCAATACTGTGGCTGATACGGGAATTCTGCTGTTAAACAGCAGATGCCCACCTTTTGGAAGTGAAATGTGCAGATTCAGGTCACAGTAGACCTGAGGCCATGCTCTAGTCTGTCACCTAAGCCGGTGGAAAGAGTTATCTAACTAAGCTACTCCAGATTCTCAGTGATGCAGTAGACACCAGAATGTGGATCAAACTATGAGCTCCAGGGTTATTTCTGAACGGTTTAGAAAAGGTTTCTGACTAAGGAAATGATAAACTTACTTTAACAATTAGCCGTTTGTGCGAATTGTCTGTCATTTTGTATGTCCAATGTAAGTAACAATATTGCAAAGTTTAAGTGTTTGCATGAGTGAAGTACGCGTGTTCATTCTGTCCCTGAACAAGTGGCCAGTCGCTATTATATAATGATTTTCTGTACCATGTCTAATGCTTTGGCACTACTTCTATTATATCTGTACGTTAGTATAAAAGAAGTACTGCAACAAATTCTTCTTCCATTGTCCAGATTTTCATTTTTTAAAGTGTAAGGGAATACTTTCTTAAAAATACTATCAGGGGGAATTTCTCATTTTGCATAATAAAGCCCCTACATGAATCCTATGTGGAGGGTGTTTTACTAAACTAATCTTAGAAATGAATCTTAGTGTTTAAAAGAATGTAAGCAACTTGCAGTTCCTTGAATGTGAAACATTAAGGAGGATGTATGAAGAAAAAAGAAAATCTTTATTTTAAGCTTGCTTTAACTTCTGATGTGTGTTAGGGACCTATAATTCAGGACTTAGTGAAGACAATTAACAAATCACACACACCCTCACCAATGTCTAAACATGGCTAGAAAAAGTAAAATATTAGTCTTGTTATCTATACAGAGAATGCTAATGCCTATAATTGGTCATTGCCTGACCCTTATATTTTTCTGTCCTGATAACTCTGTCAGCCTGGAAGCTAATTTTGTGGTTTTTTGTGAAATCTTTCAGTGGTGTTATCAGGGAGAGTGCGTACCTTTTGGCACTTGGCCCCAGAGCATAGATGGGGATTGGGGTCCGTGGTCAATATGGGGAGAGTGCAGCAGGACCTGCGGGGGAGGAGTCTCCTCATCTATAAGACACTGTGACAGTCCAGCGTAAGTAGCTAAAGTAAGCCGGAGCCAACAAAAAGACACATTTGGAAATTATTCAAAACTGTGGTTTCACATGTTATCTGTAAAAATATTTTGCTAGTTTGCCAACATTTGTCTTCAAAATAGCACACAGAAACACTTAAACAGGAGAAGTTCACTAGACATACTTTTAACATTTTTAATGTATCCTATGTACTGCAAACATAGCTGGATTTATATTTAGCAATAACCAGAATGGTTTTCTTTCTGCAACTTGCTGTTAATGCAAAATATATTTAAATTATGCCTTAGATAGATTGCTTTCTTAAGACATACTACCGCTAATGCTTGTCTAGGATATAAAGTAACTATTGCCAGTTACTTATTAAAAAACCAACACAGTATTTCCAAGCTTTTGCATACAACTGCTTACATATAAAGCACAGTTAGTAATATTATGTTGCATACAATACATTTATATGCTGTCATGTCCAACACTTAGTTGTGACTTCCCACTGACTCTTAAAACAATTCAGCAACTTTTCTCCTTGCCACTATTCCCTATTGGTCCATCTACTCTCTCTCAAGAGGGGGCAGCTTCTCCACTACAGCTTGATCTGTTGTGTGTATCTGTACTGGCCCTGTCATCTGTCTGCTTTCCAATGTCGTGAGCACTGTTCCAGAGGAGGTCGGTCAGGTAAGTCTCTGTCACTCCTCTCTCTGTCACTAACACTTCTCGGATGAGGAATGCGTACTTATTTCCATTGCTGTTCTTTGCTGAATGAATCACTGTTTTTTTCTGTTGCTGCTTGCCCTGTTCTGGTTACCTCCTCAGAGCTATAGGTCTTTGCAGAAGGATAGTTTTATTACTCCATGCTTTGTTCTTGTCATGTCCTATAATCGCTATTTCCATCACCATTACTAGTTTTTAAGACTACTTTTTCTTGAAAACATAAAGATTTTGTGCTTCTTTCATGAAAATCCATTCTGTGGCTTTTGTCACTCCTTCCTTATCTTCTGCTCTCTGTACACTTAGGTTCTATGTTGCTTATACCCATGTTTTGCAAGCCAGGCTGTGTATCAGCTTTCCACTGCGCTCTGTAAGACAGACACCATAATGTCACATTACTGCTGCTTAAGGTGTCTGTTCACCTCCTGTCATTAGCAATAACTATCAAATCTGGCAAACAGCACTACTTACTGAATGGATTAAAAAGCAAAAATTATCCATATGCATCAATAACATGTCAGACTATGTTACTGAGAGAATAATAAATTAAATTTTTTTTTTTCACAGCAGTGTGTAAAAATGCTAGTGAAATGTTTGTTTGGAGCATGAGTAATTTCCTAAGGTTTTTTAACTACTCCTGTCACCACGTATATGGGTTGGTATGTTGAAATGTGATTAAATTTTAAATGCTTAACAGTACAGCAAGCAAGTGTATTTGCGGGGGTGGGGTATGTCTGCATTAGGAGAAAAATTCCTTTTAGTTCAAGGTTAGTGTTGCCTGGTTAAATATCTGTAATGTGAAAAATAGTATTGATTTTCTTTTTAGTTAATTGTAAATTCTTTTATTTCTTTATTATAAAACAAACACCAAGTGTTTTTCCTTTCTGCTTTCAGTTATGAGCCAAAGAGTTGATGTCTGATTAATCTTCCATTTAAGACAATGTTAATTCATTATTTGATCTCTGTGGAAGATAGATAAGGTTCTTGAACACTTTGGGAATTTAAGAGCCAATGTCTTATTCACACTAATTAGAAACTTGCTTACTCTGGAGTTTCCTCAGATTTAATACTGCTTAATTCAAATCAGAATCAGATTCTTGAACTAGAAAACGCAGTCTTTGCTGGCTCCAGTATTTAGCAGGCAGTGTTTCTTCATTTTGTTATATTTTCAAGTGTAATATGAGAAGATTTAAAAAAAAAAAAATCCCATAGGTTGTTTACACATTTCTCATTCTAGTTTTACAAAGCAACCAAATAATTAAAAACAATGCCTTTTTAGTATGTTCAAAATACAGTTAAACTGTATTGCTTGGGATCTCTGCAAACTAGGTGAATACTATGAGAGTGACGATTTTCAAGTACCCAGTATTGTTTTGTATCTGCTCCAATTCAAGTCAATGCTACAATTCTTACTAAAAAAAATATTTTAAAATCTCACCTTAAAAGTTCCATGTACTTTTATTTTTATTTATATAATATATATCTGTTGGACTCATGTTTATACTAATAATGCATTAGTATCTCTCACGAACTTGTGTTTGTAGTAATACATATACTAACACATAAAACATGTTTTTCCAGGCCTTCAGGTGGAGGCAAATACTGTCTTGGAGAAAGGAAGCGGTATCGCTCCTGTAATACTGATGTAAGTAAATTTTGTTCATTGGATGCATTTTTTCTCAGTTCAGAAAAGCTGTGAATTCTCCATTTTATTGGCAAACAGCCCTGTAGGGCACTTCTACATAGCAGGCACCCTACAAGTTCTGCTAAATGTTAGGATCCCTATCTCAATGTGACGCCCAGCTGGTATCTTCGCGTTAAGGAATGAGTTCAACTTGAGCATCCATGTTAAAGATTAACAAGGAGCATTCCACATCGGAGCAAAGGTCTGTCTAGCCCAGTGTCTTGTCTCTCAGCAATGGCCAATTAACAGGTGTTTAGGGAAAAATTATAAACTTTTGGCAGCCAAGGCATGACTTTCCATGGATATACTGTGTGAGTTTCCAGAAGCTGGGTGCCTAAAGATTTCTTGAGCTCCACATCATATCTGTACCACGTTAACTGCCACAAATGGAACTATCCTCCATGAATCCGTTTTTAAAGCCTCTTGCCCTTTTTATACCTTTATAGCTTCCTTACTAATGTGTTACACAATCCTCTTATACATTCTGTGAAAATGTATTTCTTTTGATGTGTTTTAAACCTGCTGTTTTGCCATCAAGTATCCGCTGGTTCTTGTCTTACCAGAATGATCATGCAGTTTTATTTTAGAGCTGAGCCCATCAAATAATGAACTACCACTGAGAGGGTGAGGCAGAGTATAAATGTATAAAATCGAATTATGAACCTAGATTACAAATTCAAGTAAGTTAAAAATTGAACCAGAAAATCATACACACCAATAAAGAATTTCACTAGAAAGTTTCCAAGTCAATAGCACTACAAACATAAACAGGCTTTCATGTTATTCTTCAAATTCGTCTTAATTTTCTTCTTAAATCAAGAAAATTCGTAACAGTGGGAGAGTCTGTACCTAAAGGTGTTGTTTCACTTGTTTATCTTTTGATGTATTTCAAGAAAAAATACAATAGTTAATGTGCTGATGCCTTGAAAAAAACTTGTTTTTATGATTGTTACTAATTATCATAAGTAATAGTTCTGCAAAATTCTCTGTGGAGGTTATTCTCATTATTAGGCAGTATTACAAATTTCCGAATTAAAAATTACTTTCCTACTGCTAATCACAGCAGCTTTGTTCACACAGCCAAAAAGTGTGTTAGGCCTTTTGCCCACAGTGTTGTAAGAGAAACTGAAGCTGCTTGTCCAGTAGGAGCTGTAAAACTTCTCCAGTCATACAACCTTCCAAATTACAGTGCACCGTTCTGAAACTTTGACCATCTTTTTTTTTTCTGTAGATGTGTATCTTTGCGCTTGGCTGTCTTTGTGCAATTTTCATTTGAATGGATCACCTTATCAGATGATCCGCTGTAATTAATTTACCTTCCTCTTTATTTTCACTCAGATGGTCTTTTTGTAATTGGAAGACTACATAAGCAAGAAATTTTTTCATAGTGCCAATTCACAAGTGTAAATATTGAGTAACGCTGAGTGTGTTTCTTATTCTTACAGTTGATAGGAAATTCACCTACGAATTCACTAAGTGATGATTCCTTATTGAAATCTGTCAGTTGAAATCTGTCAGTCAATATTTAATAAATTTAATGTATGCTTTACTGGACTAGTACAGGTTTGTTTCTGTTTTTTTCAGTCAGGATGTTGTGTACTAAGTTAAGTGCCTTATCAAAATCTAAGCATATCCCATTATCCTTTTAGTTTAACCAGGAATTGTAAAAGATTTTAGTTGATGAAAGCTATTCTTATACAAAGTACTGATTTGTATTATTATTTATCATTCTTTTAAACCTGTATCTGCCAACTTTTCTGTGTATTTGGGATTGATATCAGGCAAACTGCAACCTAGAATATTCTATTTGTCCTTTTCAAATAATGACCTTTTTACATTAGCATTGTTTCAGTTTGTACACACAATCTAAGATTTGTTAAAAAATTCACATTGGCACCCTGGAGCCCTTCTCCCTTAACTCTCTGAGGACTCTTGTGAGGTAATTGTCCAGGCATTCTTACTTGAAATGTTTATCTCCAATAGATATTATTTAGCGTCTGCCACAGTAACTAGTATACAAGAAAGTTTACATAATATGTAATGCTGCTCTCTCACAAATATACAACAATTTTTTAATGCTTTTTTATTATTAACAATCATACCATAGCTACCTAGTGATACCGTTGAAATGTTGCTAGGATTTGTTTTACTCTTATCATATTTTCTTTCTTATTGTCAGACACTTTTCAGTCAGTTTTATTCTTAGTTTGTTCCTTATTCTCTCTTTATTTGTTTATTACGGAGAGGAAGCTTATAGGGTCACAGAAGGAACATGTAGAAGGTCTAAGAGGAGGCTGTTCACTGGCTCAAAGGCAGAATTAACTGTCTTTAAACTGTTCTTAATTGATGGTTAGGCAGCTGACCTGTTTTGAAATACTTCCAGTCTGGGAGATATCATTAGGATTCTTCAATATCCTTACAGTCAGGACAGTTTTTATAAAATACAGTGTATGTTTTCCCATCCTTTAAGACTCTTACTTGCTCTTTCCCCAGTAAGAAGACAGCTGATAATATTCCCTCTATGGGAGCCTTTCCTGTATTTGCAGACTACTATCATATCTCTTCTTAGTCTTCTTTACATGAGACAGTCTCTGTGTTAATAGCCTTTGAGATCCCAGTAGCGCACATCTTGAAGCGTGGTGCGCAATCCTCTGGTCAGGATTCTAGCTGAGACCTGTCAGAGATAAGTGTAACTTTGAACTTAGTCTGTCATCTTAGTGATGGGATTCCATTTATTCATTTTAGTATTGTGTTCATTTTTCTTACAGGAGTGACAGTATTCATTTAGTCTGTGTTGTTCCGTAATACCCAAATCCCTTTCCTAAGAGCTGCTGTTTAGGAAGTCATTCCTCAGTTGTGCTTGCACAGTTGATTGTTCCTACTCAAGTGTAGTAATTTGCATCCATTGCTTTATTTCAAATCACTGCTCCAATTTATCAAAATCTTTTAAAATTATAGTCCTCTATTCCAAAATGTTCGTTCCCTACCTATACTCAGATTTCAGTCAATAATTTAAGCAAGAGTATTGGAAAGGAAACTTTGCATTTCATTGTCTAGGTCTTAAAAACAAATCTTGAACAATTGCAGACTCGGGCCAAGCAATTTGGAAATGCCATTCTTACAGTTTGACTGTGAATCTTTTTTTTTTGCATATTTTTTGGGTATGATTTCCAGTATGTAAACATACTGGTACTTACAGAAGTTTAAATTTACTGCCTTAATGGTTTTGATGATTGTAGTCTATTTCTTTTATAGTAATATTTAGGGTTCTACATAACTAAGAGTTGCTGAGACTAGTAGGTTTTGTTTCAAGATTTATGATAGTCCTTAGTGCTTGACATTTTTAATGGAATGGTATGTTTGATTAATGTAGCGTTAAAAGTATGCAAATCTGTCAGTTTTTATGAAAAATGTGTTGTTTGTACATCTTTTCTGTTGAGGTTTATTTTGCCGTGTCAACATCCGTTGCCCATCTCTAATTTTCAACATAGCACTCCCTAAAGCTCCTACTATTCATAAAAAAAAAAAACCCTCCTTTTGACTTCATTTTTCTTTCAGAGATGAGTTAGTTCTGTTGCCCTTTCTTTTGACCATTTTAATTCTTTGGAAACAGTGCACACACTCCTACTAGGCTTATTTCTCATCAAACACTTCCAAAGCCATATATGACTTCTTAATTCAAAAGGCATCTGCTAATGGAAACATTGAGATCAGCAGAAAAGAACATGAGCTAATGAGTTCTGGAAACAAAAGGGTGGTAGGAAGAACACACTCATCAGAAACTTATTTTCTACCACCAACCACACTATCTCTAACGAAAATACATTTTTTTTTCCAACCAAAGTTATTTTAATTTAAAAAAAAATACAAAATGCTAATAGAATTGCAAGGCGCATAATTGCTCAGTTAAAGTAACTCATTGTCTGATTTAAAATACGTATAGGATGTGAAGCTTAATTTGATATAAATTTAAAACTGTAAAAGCCTCCCAATGTTTTATATATGATAAGAAACATGTTTTGCTTACAAGTTCTGTGAATGCTTTATCTATATAAAAGTATGTATGTAAGGTATGTAAAGGTATGTACCTTTACAAGATTCTTGTTCTTCAGTCTTTTCTCTCAATAGAACGTAGGCAAATGGTTTTTTTTGGTTCCTTCCATTATGCATACATTCACAGATATTGTTTGTTGCTTTCATAATTTTAATATTTTCAAGTCTATTTTTTCTCAAATGCATTCATGTGAGGAGCTACGTCTTGGAACAGTACCTGAGTTTCAATTGTCACCCTTCTGGCTGTGTTTCTCATCTTCTGTGAGGTGTAGTATAGCCCTTTGTTAACAGGAAACACAATGAGTTCAATTACTGAAGTCTGCCTGACTTTTAAGCTCCAAGATAAACAGATTTCTGTGAGATAAGATGTTTGGTTTTGCGTCAATGTCGGTTCAATGATTTGTTAATACTCTTTAGGCGATTTATTTTTGCTTCAGTCTTCTTATTTTTTATGTTCTTACTAAAGTCAAGGCTTTTTTTAGCTCAAAATTTTAATTATTTCATCATCTTCTTCTCAGGACCTTCTTCAGACTTGATTTTAAGTTCTTATACATTTGTTAGATTCCTATCTCATGATTTGCAGTCTCCAAAAAGAGCATTTCGAAACACGAGCATCCTGTTGCTTGACAAGAGTTATCCATGTGCTGTAACTGCATGAAAAAGGTGAAATATCTTACCCAATAAAGAGAAGTAGTTATTGCACGTTTGCTTTGGGAAAAGAGTACATACACAAAGAGACAGTGGCAAAGAGCTGACATTTTGTAAATGCGTATTGTAGCTTACCTTGCAGTAACGTTTTCGCATTTCTATACCAATGATTTTCATAGAATCATAGAATACCATATTGGAAGGGACCTCAAGGATCATCTGGTCCAACCTTTCTTGGCAAAAGCACAGTCTAGACAAGATGGCCCAGCACCCTGTCCAGCTGAATCTTAAAAGTGTCCAATGTTGGGGAATCCATCACTTCCCTGGAGAGATTATTCCAATGGCTGATTGTTCTCATTGTGAAAAACTTTCCTCTTGTGTCCAATCCGAATCTCCCCAGGAGTAACTTGTATCCATTACCCCTGGTCTTTTCCATGTGACTCCTTGTAAAAAGGGAGTCTCCATCTTCTTTGTAGCCACCCTTTAAATACTGGAACATGGTTATAAGGTCTCCCCTAAGCCTTCTCTTCTCAAGGCTGAACAAACCCAGTTCTCTCAGCCTTTCCTGATACGGCAGGCTTCCCAGCCCTTGGATCATCTTTGTGGCCCTTCTCTGGACCCTTTCCAGCCTGTCCACGTCTTTTTTGCATAGCGGGGCCCAAAACTGAACACAGTATTCCAGGTGTGGCCTGACAAGGGCTGAGTAGAGTGGGACGACTTCTGTGTCTGTGCCGGTGATGCCCTTGTTGATGCAACCCAGCATCCTGTTGGCTTGCTTTGCTGCAGCAGCACACTATTAGTTCATATTGAGCTTGTTGTCCACCAGGACCCCCAGGTCCCTTTCCACAGAGCTGCCTCCCAGCCAGGTAGATCCCAGCCTGTGCTGCACTCCTGGATTATGTTTTCGCAGGTGCAAGACCTTACACTTGTCCTTGTTGAACTTCATAAGGTTCTTGTTAGCCCACTCTTCCAGCCTATCCAGGTCTTCCTGCAGGGTGGCTCTCGCTTCTGAAGTGTCCACTTCCCCACTCAGTTTGGTATCATCAGCAAACTTCATCAGGATACACTTGATCCCATCATGCAGATCACTTACGAAGATATTAAACAGCTTTGGGCCCAATATCAATCCTTGGGGGAGCCCATTTGGGACAGGTTGCCCGTTTGAAAAGGAGCTATTTATCGCCACCCTGCAACAACAACAACAACAACAAAATTTACAAGTTGCATTTTATGCTTCAGATTACAGAATGTTGCAGGTTTCAGGCTATCATTTGGTAATTGCAGTCTTCAGAAGGACTTCCTTAAACTGAAAACTTCACTAAATCCACCTGAAAGCGGGATTCATACTCATGATTTGGACAAAGAGCAAGATCCTGAGATGAGGGCTAGACTTGTCAGTATTCACTGAGGGGAACTTAGCCACTAAAATGAAACTTATTTTATTGCAAATGTTACCAAATCTGCCTATGGATTGATGGATTTGCACTTTTAGAGCTAAAGGCATGGGGTTATGTAAAAGTTTTGATATCATTGGTATATCAGTTTGTGAAATTAATTTAACAGTACTTGCAGTATAGGAAGCCAGGATTTAATCTGCAGGACTACCAAAATCAGATAAAATATCAAGAAAACAGGAACACTGTATGAGGGGCTTTGCTCCCACAGTTCCTTTAGCTGCTCCCAGGTATTCCCAGCCTTATCTGCTGTTCTTGTTAGCAGTGAGATTGCAGGCTATGCATAGTTGTGTGTAGCTGGTTTTCTGTTAGACTGCCAGAGCTGTGTTCAAGAAGAAAAGAGGGTACAAACAGTGATTTTAGCAGTTTAAATTGTGGCAAAAACTGAATCGGTATTGAATAGGGTAAAAGAAGACCTTTGCTTTGCTTACAAGGGGACCTCTGGACGTCATCTTGTACGGCCCCTCTTGCTCAAACCTCAAACAGGTTGCCCAGGACTGTGTCCAGACGGCCTTTGAATATCTCCAAGGAGGGAGATTCCACCACCTCTTTGGGCAACCTGTACAAGTGCTCGGTCACCCTCACAGTGAAAAAATGTTTCATGATGTTCAGGAGGAACCTGTGTTTCCATTTGTGCCCATTGCCTCTGGTGCCATCACTGGGCACTGCTGGAAAGAGCCTGGCTTCATCCTCTTAACACCCTCCCTTCAAATATTTGGATATATTGATGAGATCCGCCCCCTGAGCCTTCTCTTCTCTAGGCTGAACAGTCCCAGTTCTCTCAGCCTTTCCTCATATGAGAGATGCTCCAGGCCCTTCGTGGCCCTTCGTTGGACTCTATCCAGTATGGCCATATCTGTCTTGCACTGAGGCACCAATGCTGAGTAGAGGGGAGGGATCACCTCCCTGGACTTGCTGTTGACACACCTATTGCAGCCCAGGATACAATTAGCCGCCTTTGCCGCAAGAGCACATTGCTGGCTGATGTTCAACTTGGTGTCCACCAGGGCACCCGGAGCCTTTTCTGCAAAGTTCCTTTCCAGCTGGTTGGCCCCCAGCATGTATTGGGGCATGGGGTTGTTCCTCCCCAGGTGCAGGACTTTGCCCTTCTCCTTGTTGAACTTCATGAGGTTCTTGTGGGCCCATTTTTCCAACCTGTCAAGGTCCCTTGGACGGCAACACAACCCTCTGGCGTATCAATCACTCCTCCCTGTTTTGTGTTATCAGCAAAATTGTTGAGGGCATACTCTTCCCCGTTATCTAGATCGTTTATGAAGTGATATTGTTGCCTCAAAATACATCCAAGATCACCATCAAACAAGGGAAGTAAGACCTACATCTCAAAGATCAGATTGCGAGAATTTTTTTTAAGAGTATAAATATGGAATTCTTGATCCTTCTTTACTAAAAAGGATTTCATTGCGGGGGGTGATTTAATTAATTTGTAAGGGGAACTTGGTGTAGTTAAAATACCAGCCATATAAATTAGTACCTAAGCAAGTGAAGAATAAGGTGTAGTGACCAGTATCAGAGAGATTCGGACTCAAGCTTTGAGATGGATCAAGACTGATCCTTCTACTGCTTGAAGAATACGATGCAGAGAGGCAAATTTAATTTGTGTAACTTTTAAAAAATCTTTTAAACAGTCTTATTTTATTTACATAGTTATTTTTTATTCTCACTGTTATCATCTGAAGGATTATTGAGTTAAAGTAGTTACACTATTTTTTTTCACCAGTAAATGTATTATATTCAAAAATGTATTTTTAGTTAGAAGGAGGTAATAGAATGATTTATAGAGAAAATTTAAAATTTAAATACTGTCTAATGTCCACTATTTTAATTTATATCACAACAGCTTCAAAATTGGAGAAAAAATTTCTGGTTTCTGAATCATAGTGCAATGGGCTGGCTGTTATAAGAGCTTGATTAATGTATACTGAGAAGAATAATTATTATGTTAATATTTGCAGTAAATTTTTATCATCCAGGTTTATAGAGACCGTTTCACTTGAATGCATTTCAGATTCCTGAACAGTGCTAACTGGCTTAGGTACATAGGATGACAAGCAAAACTGCCATAAAATGGACTGTTCTGTTGCTCATATAATAGTAATATTTATTAACACCTCTGATTTCTGTCAAACAAATTCTTTTCTCTTTCAGTCTAAAAATTATTTTAATCTGTATTTCAAATACTTTGTCTGATGAAGCTTGCAACTTCAGCAGGTACTTAAACACTGATAACAATGTTTAATGTGCTATCTAAATTCTGGGTGTATTCAAGATTAGTTGTCATTATTATTTTGAACCTGCTGTTGAAAAATGTGAAATAGCAAAGAATTCTGTTTTTCCTATAATTCTTTCCAAGATTAATTTCACTTACATCTACCCTTATTCCAAGTAAAAAAGATACTTTACAGTTTTGTAATTGGTAATGCAAAGTAATGAAAATTTAGATGAAAGCATTTTTTATTTCTTCATGCTTGGAGACTGGTAAAAATCAGAGCCAAACATGGTATCTTCTCATTCTCAGCCTTAACACAATGCTTTTGTCAAGGCTACAAGTGAGCAGAGGTGATACAGCTCTCTAGAAAGTGCTTTAATTTTTTTCTTGATGTCTTAATAACATGCCTCAGTACAGCTGCTTAGTACAGTGTAACTGAGCCTACACCTCTTACCAAAATGATTTTGTTTTAATTTTTTCAAGTGTTTTTAATGTGTGTTTATAAGGAGGTAGCTGATAGGTTGATTATGAAGCATAGTTTGATGTGATTCTGATTGTCCAGTTTTATGGAAACTGTTATGTAACACTTAACCTTTGTTTAAATCACTTCAGTTACTTCCTGCCAGCCTAAGATTGCAAAATAGACACTTCAAGTGTAAAGCAATAAAGCAAGTTTCAGAATTAGAGCCACAAGATAAAGCAGGGAACCACCTTCTAGTCTCTTGCATGATTATGTTTGCAATATAAGTATATAAGCATTTATTTTTATGTTGGTATTTGAAAGAAATTAACCTTTTTTTGTCTTTATTCTTTTAGCCATGTCCTTCAGGGGCCCGTGATTTTCGGGAAAAGCAATGTGCGGATTTTGACAATATGCCTTTCCGGGGAAAGTATTATAACTGGAAACCCTACACTGGAGGTAATGGTTAGCTTTGCAAAAGTGTTATTATATGTGAAGTCTTCAAAATTATATAAATGTTTTATAGGGAGTAATGTTTGTAAATATAATGTTTTGATTAAAATATAATGAGCTAAGTTTGCTTAGCTTGTAGTTTTGTCTATTGCTAAAAATGTTGCAGAAGAGCCATCTCTATTCTGGTAGAGTTTTGTTTTATTGTGAAGGGGAGTAAGCATCGTTGTAGGGACCCCACTTCAAAAATATGGAGCCCTTCTCCACCTGCAGTTGCAATAGAATTAGAGATTCCGTAGATGATCTGTAAGTGCCTTTTATGCTACATTGATGAGTTCAGAATAAAAAAAACTCACAGTAAGTTTTCTTTTCTTAAGGTTAGAATATTAGGAAAAGGAGAAACAAGTAAAAGCATTTATAAGAGTCTCTAAAGACTACTTCAATAATTGAATTATAAATAATTGCACTGTGCAATAAAAGGGTATTTTGCAGCAGGGAAGAGGGTTGTAATTTCTTTTTCCTTTTAAGACAGTTTAATCAAGTTTAGTTATGTTTCTGTTGTAGTTCAAAGTTTGTAGGTTGCCCTTTTATTGTTTTGTTTTTTCCTGTTTTAAACCCTGAGTGAATAAGTCCATGTTCCCCCTTGTGTTTTGGTATTTTATTGACTTGAATGGTTTTAGTCTTAGTTTTTTAGATTAAAAACCTTAAAAGGATCATTGTGATCACATGGGCTGAGCTGTAATGTAATTCAATAGGACTAAATTCCTGATTGAAATAGTCTGATCTTGGTTTTGAAATTTATCCTGATATACTTTTAGCAATACGTTCTTTTGTTATTCTTGTTTTTCAAATGGTGAAGTGGTATCCTTATTGTTTTGAATTGTTCAATAATCATTAGGGTTGTATTAACATAATGGAATCATTATGGAGCCAGCCAACCTTGCCATATCTTACTATGCGAAATAATCTTTTTTGCAAGAAAGAAGAGTCAAGTAGAGCAATCAATAAAGGGAAGTTAAATAAAGTGTATACATTATATACGTCAGGTATGAGATAAGATTATATATTTCAGATCTGCTTATGCATATAAATTTTTAACTAATTGTTAACTTTTCAAGATTTCTGTTGGTTTTTTTTCCATTCATTTTTATTGTCCAGGTGGGGTTAAACCATGTGCATTAAACTGCTTGGCTGAAGGTTATAATTTTTATACTGAACGTGCTCCTGCAGTAATAGATGGGACTCAGTGCAATGCTGATTCACTGGATATCTGTATCAATGGAGAATGCAAGGTTACAAATGTTTTATAAAGTACTTATGGATTACTTTGTTGTGTCTGATATCTCCTACATTTAATTATGGTACTTGTTTGTTACTTACATGAAATGGGAGTGTTGACAGATCAAGTTGTTAATGAAGGAGTAAGATTGAGACAAGAAGATAAAAAACGTATTGCATAAATTAGACAAATTGTTTGAATTTCAGTAGCTTCTCACAGACATTCACAGATCCTTCGTTTTGTCTTCTTTTTTCTTACTTTATGGTTTTTGTTGAAGAATCAGTAGAAAGGGCAATAGGAGATGAACAGATTCCTTGCACTGTTCCAAGGCCTGTTCCATCATTCCAATTAGAATACCACTCTGGCTGAAAAACAGTAAATGTGAACATATTAATCTGTTTCTCTCTAACCAGTTCATCCTGTTGCAAACAATTCTGCTCTTAATGTAATTGAAACAGAAAGTTGTCAGTATTGCGCTGTAGTTGTAGGAAAAAGTCTATAATGATGCGAGGATTTGCCATTTACTAAAAATCTGATTATCTTGTAAGATTCCTGTAGAACTGCATTACATGAATTTGAATAGAATTGGAGGTCTGTGCCATATTTTCGGTTATATACATCCCACTGCTTCTTCAGTTTAGCAAAGCGCTTAATTATGTACTTAAGTCTGGACATCTGAACAGTGCTGGTAACTCTAAAAATTATTTGATTTCACTGAAACCACTAACATAACTAAAACTTAACCCGATGCTTAAGTTCTTTGCTAAAGTGAGGGCTGAAGATGTATATTTATTGAATAATGTGATGAGATCAAAAGCATTTGCCATGTATTAGTAAACTAACAAAAAAAAAGCACAAGAAATAACCTATGGAATTCTGGTGTACTTTATACATAAGATTTTAGTAGTTCTGAGAAATCTTTTGAAACTGATAATCAGACTAAATCTCAAGTTGAGAATGAGCTATGTAATAAAGTTGGGCCTCTGTCTTGATGAATCAGAAAGTCGAAATGTAAATGGTTAGAATAATACTATTCTGTCAATTATTTAAAATGTTATAACTTCTCTTCTGACCTATGTATACCTGTTTACAAGGTGGTAGATAATATTGCTAGGCAGTAAACAAAGTTATGTAGCTGCCTCCTTTTTTGTATAAATCCTGGAAAGAATTGGCAAGATGCAATGTCCATTCTGTTTACATCCTACTTGTTCATTCTCTTTTTTTTTTCCTTAAGAATCTAGCTGTCTCTATTCTCATTAGCTTTGTAATAATGTTGAATCAGTAAGTTATAAGGAGTTAATAATTGTTCACTGTACCTAGATTTCTCAAGTAGATAATCGGAAATGTAATGTACTTTTTATGATCAGTTATAGACACCTCTTTTTTTCCAAAGGCTTTTGAATCCTAATACAGCATGTAATTCAGCCTTTCACTATGTTTCATTCTGCATTAATTCTTACAGTGAAGTCATTTACAGTTTACATTCAAACTTCTGAAAAGAGGATATGGAAATATGGTCTATGAAGCGGTAAATGCCTTTGGGAACAATAAAACTATTTATGCTGCATAAATGTTTAAGGAACACACAGCAAATGTTTACCTTAACAAAGCAATATAGGTCGAACATAGTTAGCTGTTGTAATATTAAATAAAAACATCACTAATCATTTATTGTTAACTGTAATAATTACATTGTTTGTAAAAAGCTGTGAGATCCCTTCCTGAAAGTCACAGTAGAAATGCAAAGTACTTATTAATCAAGATTTGGTAACAACCCAAAATTTCTCCTTTTTAATTTTCTTTTTCTGGTAAGTGAAAACCCACTTAACGGTAACAGGTATCAAAAACAGAGTAGATAAAATGAAGCACAGAATATCTCAAACTTCAGAGAAACACTTCAAAAAAACTATGAAGATAGTGCTGCAAGACCATCATCCTGTTAAAATACTTGTTCTTATCTGTTCTCAGCATGTAGGTTGTGATAATATTTTGGGGTCTGATGCTAAGGAAGATAGATGTCGTGTTTGTGGAGGAGATGGGAGTACATGTGAAGCCATTGAAGGCTTCTTCAATGATTCATTGCCCAGAGGAGGTATGCATATATTTGTCCATTCTATTGCACAATGCATTTAGATGACGCTCTAGCAAATACCGGTGCTGCATTGATTTCCAGCATGGCATTGCTGCTGGTCGTTCAGTTTGACTCTTTTGCCTTGTTGTTTCCTTTTTCTGTATTAGTTTGGATTTATGTCAAATACAACAATATGTTTCATTACTTAGCTCTCATGCTCTTTAATGCCCTTAAAAAGAAATGGGTGGGGGTTTTGGTGAGGGTTTTTTATTATTATTTAGTTATGGTGGCATAGTAAGAGTAGTGTTGTGTATGATTTTAATGTGTATGGTAAAATCTGATATATTGTCGTACATGAAATTTTAGAATAGAAAGAATCCAGAAGTGTCTCTTAAATTCATCTTATTAAGAACTCGGGAAATGTGTATGGGCTATTAATTTAAAACTTAGCTCAAAAAAGACAACATTAGTGTTGCAGTCTTAGTGTTATCAGTTTTGGGCTCCCGAATACAGGAAAAGGATTGATGAACCGGAGTTAAGTGCAGTTCAGTGCGTACATGGTGGGAGAAGAGACAATGGCTATAAATTGAAACAAGACAGGTGCTGACCGAATGGAAGCAAAACTTTTTCGCCAGGAGGACAGTCCAGCAGTGGATCAGGTTGCCCAGAAAGGTGGTACAGTTTCCATCTTTGGAGTTTTTCATGACCCAGCAGGAAAAAGCGCTAAGTAACTTGGTCTGATCTCCTAGCTGACCCTGCTTGTAGCAGGAAGTTGAACTAAATGACTGTCTGAGGTCCTCTCTAACCTGAATTACCCTATGATCCCAAGGTCATTTTATATATTAATTACTTGTGATACACTGTTAAAAAGACTTTATTAGCATTTTAAAAAGGAATTTCTGACTCCATGGTAAGTTCTTGCTATCCCTTTCAAATTTTTGTGTGAAATGTAAAGAGTTTTCTTTTACATCACATGAAGAAAATGTTCCAAGTACCTTTGAGTCTCATAGTATCTGACTGTAATTTTTAGTAGTAAATAATTTATTAATGGTTAGTTTCATGACTAATATTGATTAATGTAAACAACTACAAATAAAATTTACCTTTGTCATATAGGCTATATGGAAGTGATTCAAATTCCAAGAGGTTCTGTGCACATTGAAATAAGAGAAGTGGCCATGTCAAAGAACTACATTGGTAAGAGCCTTGTTTAAATAGCAGTCTGTTACTAATTCAGAGTTTGTGTTGTGATTTGAAGGTACATTTTCTGGTTTGGCAAACTATACACGTAGTAGAAGCAGCAGGAGGAATTATTAACTGTTAATGTTGGGTTGTGATCAGACAGTTGCAGCAGTTGGTTAGGATGTATTCTCTTGAATGGTGCTAATGAAATACATCATGTGATTCCTCCTTGTCCACTCAGTGCAAAATCAGGTCAACTTCACTATAGTTATAGTTATAGACTTGAGCTGAAGTGGATGAGGAACACTCAAATGATCTATTGTCCCACTCTGAGGTAGTGTCTTCCATCTGGGAATTCTCTGATCTTGGGGGATTATACCATTTTAAAAAACGATTTTATTCTTGGAATGATTATTCGTCAACAGCCATACTTACGTAAACGCTAACAATACTGTCTCCTTATCTTACGGCAATTTAATGTATTAATTCCACAGTGTTTCTGTGTTGCTGTGTTGTAGGGACTAGATGCCATCCCTGATTTATGGATAAAGAAAATGAGATGCAGAAAAACTAGGTGCTTAATTGAGATCATTCAGGAAGTCTGTTGTAAAGCACAGAATTAAATTCAAATGCCCAGATTATTACTCCTTTCTTTAAAGACTTTAAAGAAATTTGCTTTCTGTTTTTTTAGTACTGATATGTACAAATCTGGCTTTGTCAAACTCAAGACAACATGCATTTCTGAAAGTCTCTGTACCCTGATTTGCATAGCAGTCAGTTCACAGTAGTGCAAGAACACCCATTTCTTAGTCAAAAATAGATGAGAGAGCTGGTTAGTTGTACAGCAAACTAGCAGATTAACACAACCAAAAGCTATTACCTGCTTAGGCTGAACAGCAGCTGACGAGGCTACTTTTGTCAGTCTGTACTCCATGTAGTTGATATATATATAACACTAACATGTTGGAAAGGATTATGATGCCTTTAAGTGTGAGTTAGAAGGGCAGTTATCCTCCTAGGTACATTAATTCCTAAATTGATTATATTGATAATAATGGTACCTTTTACTGCTGGATGCCTACTTTTCTTTCTGCCTATCCCCACCCTTCTTTAATGCAGCAGATAATCAATTTCCCTCCATTCTGCAGGAATAATAACACCACAACTCCAGCAGTAGAGTGCTTATTATTCTTTCAGCATCACAATCCCCGTGGCCCCTCCCCCATATCAAAATACACTGTGGGTAAGGTTGCTCATATATCCTATACTGACGTTTCAAACAGAGATGGTGGAAGAGAGGCATACAATGCATCCTATCATGGTCGTTTTCTGCTAAGAACTATTCCATGGGCAGCTGAAAACCAGAACAAACTCTTAGCTACTACAATTAAGTTCGTTATTCCTCTATTTTATAAGCACAGGAAGGTGATCTGGAAAAGCATTTACATTGGCACCATCCGTATAAAATGAATGAAAAATGTAAATTTTTTGGCTTAAATAAAAAATACAGACAACTGCATTGGTATTTAATCTGGCCACAGATCTAAAAATGTAAAGTGGTACATAAACACTTTTTTTATGTGCTTGCCACAATTTCAAGGGGTTTCCTGAGTTTCAGGCTCTCTCTTCACTACCTTGCTTCATGCCACAGAAGCCTTGACTACACAAATGGGGGATTCCTCTCCTTCACTAGTTTCTTGTGTTTCCAGCTTTTAAAGGTGCCATTATATCCTAATGAAAGATAACCTTACTAAGTCGCAGGGGCTATTTCATTTTGTGATGGGATATTTTGTTCTGTGAGTGTGAACCAGATCACTATTTTAGGATCACCAATTTCTGGGGAAAGGAAGGCTTCTAATTTGTCTGCTCCCTTAAAAGAACTATACAAGCACAATGGTTGTTAAAAATGAGTTTATTATGTTAAAACTACGTATTGTTTTATGGATATTTCTTTAGTGGCAGTGTCAACTTCACAAATCCTTCCCTGTCTTTATGGAGTTCCTTCTATTTTTCCAGGACAGCTGTTCGTGAGGCCACACCATGAACCAGATTAGAGAATTGATTCATCTGAAAATAGCCATTTACACATATTACTATATTTTGTTTTATGTGCACTGCTGCCAAATATGTAACCACAGTCTAAGAAATCAATTTCTCTATTTGGAAGTGTACAAAAAAAAGAAAATGTAAACCCCTCTTCCTCTGTAGCTGCCACACTGGCTTCAGAGTTTCTTCTTTGTTCATTTCAGTTAGGAGGATTTCAAACTAACTTGCAATAAACATCCCATGGTTCCTTAAACTTAAGATCCCGTTCTTTTACAAGCCATGGCCTCAGATTTAGGCTGCAGTTAAACATTTGGCAATTCGGTTAGCTCAGTCAGCACCTGACCTCCCTCCCCCTGTCTCTGGCTGATCATTTCTGCACCGATATCCCTCCTAGTGTTGTGACAACAAAAGCATGTTTCTGCAGCTGCATAAATAATACAGTATTTTAAACTGATCTGTCCAACAAATACCCCAGCAACAACAAAATTGCCTGTTTTCAGAGCTGCTGAAGAAATGTGGGTTTAGTAGTGCTGTTATTTTCCCTTAAATGGCTTGATCCGGGGTGACATATTCCCTTATATTCCTGTTATGCAACAGGATGTTGTGTGCTAATTTTCTGTGGGCTTCCTGCACTCTCAAATTCTCATAAATGATTTGATTAGGACATTAACTTGTTCCTTCTGTCTTATATTCTAATAGTATTATGCCACTGCGTCATCATTGTCACATAATTATATTACTGGAATGCTATTCACAACTGTGTGGCCTTCACCTATACTTAACAACTGATAGTAGGTAAATCTATTTACAGAATGCAAATGAGTTTTTCTTTGGTAGTCAGGTAAAAAATGAACTGCTTTGCTTCTGGATATCCATTAGTTTAAGTGTGTATAGCATACATATAATTGATAACATATAATTTCAGAATTATTAATTATGTAAACATGTATGAGAACGTTTGTTCTCTTATGTTCATTCATATGTCTCATTCGTTGTTGTTTGTATGTCTCACTAGAAATAAAGAATTCAGTTCGTTATTTGCTCTTAGTAGATACTAGACGTTCTAACAAGAAAATGTTTGGGATTGAGTGGCACAGTAAGAGAGACTTATTAATATGTCTCGGTAGCTTTGTGACCTTCTTTTAATTAAGCTAGATTTTGTAAAAGCAGGATGGGTAGAAATTTTGGCTATGTGGAAATAGGACCACTGATAAAACAAAATACTAATGTTCAGCTGTAACGTAGTTATTTCATACACCCATGTATAATAGATAGTGAAGTACTGTTCCTTTCTTTTGGTACAGTACTGCTTGCAGTTTGTCTTGTTCTCCTATACTCACTGTTTTACCATCTCCTTCCTGTACTACAAAATCGATATAGACAATAAGGAATCTGAATTACTTTGGGAATTCCAGATAAGTGAATGTGTCCGAACTCGTTTCTTCACTCAACGCACATGAGTGTTTCCAAAGTAAATCCAGGGAAGTCAATGGAATAAGATTTATGCTATGGGAAGACATTTCTTTTCAAACCTTATGGTGTTGGTAGAAATGGTTACTAATCCCTGCTGAATATGGCTGTCACCAGCAGAACATTACTGCCTCTCCAGCTATCTTCTGCTTATATGAATGCTCTCTGATCTCTTTTAGAAAATTTGAGCATCATTGAGACATTTTCCCTAACTGTTTAAGGTAAACCATCTGTCCACACAGATGTAGTTGAGAATAAAACTTGATCATAAGTTGTCTTATTCCTTATGATTGTGATGTGAGTTTGTTCCCTATCTAGTAAAATCAGTTATTTGTCTCAACAAAAAATGACATGGCTGTTTGATCATGTATTTCCAACCATCATTTTGCCTTTAAGAACATGTTTTATTTTAAGTAAATATGAATGCTGAGTAACTTGCTAATCTTCACCTTAAATCAAGAAGTCAATATCTAATTAACAGAATGTTCACCTTAAGATACAAAGTCAGTTTCATATTTAGAAACTTAATCTAATATTATTGATAAAATATCAAAGATAAATCCCTGAATAATATGTGCTTGTCCAGCCTAATTGGTTGGTTAGCTAAGAAATTTATGTTTTATCTACAGTACTTTTATGGTTTAAGGCTTTAAATTAGTCATAATAAAATATCTTACCAGATTAACTAGCTAGTATTTGGGTTTGTAGTAGAAATATCTTGGATTTATGCTTTAAGAAGGCAAAAAACAACAGTGGACAAAGGCAACAAAGCAAGAGCTGATTGGCACCATATGTCAGACTCAATGTTCCTTCTCTTTTTTTTTGACTCTGCACATTATCTGAGGTACCTATCTCATGCCCCAACATCTTAATCTAAAGATTAGATTGCTAATTGATTATACATTTGAGATCTACGTATATCTTACATAGAACAGCATACATTACACATGGGCTTGGTTTTAAAGTTGAAGATACATTGCAAGTTCCATGAAGCATTCTGTTTTGTTCCATATAGCATCTGCATGTTGAAATCTGCAAAGTATACCTGCACATTGAAGATCATTGCTGGGGCAATATTGTCAAACTGCGTGAGGGATATTTTGACGAGGGCTAAAGAAAAGGCTTTATATTGCTTGAAAAAATAGTGATATTGAGCTGAAGTTCACATACTTCTAACAGATTAGTAGACTAATTTGCAATGGCTTCTCCATTATAAATGCTGCTTCCAATTTTTAGGTGGCTTGTATTTTTTTTTAAGCTTTAAAATCTGAAGAGGATGACTACTATATTAATGGTGCCTGGACTATTGACTGGCCAAGAAAGTTTGATGTTGCTGGAACAGCTTTCCATTACAAGAGGCCAACAGATGAACCAGAGTCTTTGGAAGCACTAGGCCCTACTTCAGAAAATCTCATAGTCATGGTAAAGTTATAATTAATATATTTCTGAAATTTGAAATATGTATTTGTGTTCTGAGAAAAGACAAGGTCATGAATGAAATCAAAATAGGTTGTGTTTTCAGAGAGTATACAGCTTTTCTAGCTGGGACTTTGCATTTAACACAGCTTTCTTACTTTTCAAAACTGACTGGCATAAAGTCAGAAGAGCCCCAGGAAATCTCACAGAAAATGCCCCATCTCTGTTAAATGTTGTTCAGAATAATGGTAGCTGAAATGGTAAATGGGGTGTATATTGTACCTCTGCATACTGCTGATACATGGAAGTGTTGCAATATAGCATGACAGTTCCTGACAGTTCTGTAGATGCCAGTGGTTTTAAGCCTGGCCTGAGCATGAAGTATACTCTTACCACAGCAAGGGTATCATGATTTGACCCGTGTTAAAGTATGTTGCTGTGAGACACATTGCTCTGAGCAGATTGTACAAAATATGAGAATGTGACGGAAGATGTGACCAGGATCCTGATACCCTGTCTCTGACAGCAGGCAATAGCCTACTGTTGCGCTACTACGTTGAGGAGGAGTACAACAACAAGGTGATACTTGCCCAGTATATTCTGTCAGCTGCCAGGTTTGCAGTTCAGGGGTTGCTTGAGCCAGACAGGATATTTTTGTGTATAGAATGATTGTTGCCTGGATATTCACATTTTAGGCAGCATTTTCAAACACCTGAATCCTGGTTTTTCTACTGTAGATGTGGATAAGCGAGAGAGTCCATATAGAATAAGTTACACAATTATTATAGTGCCTTTTCTCATTCAATCAGTGCCACTGACCTTCTTACTGGAAGTTCTCTGCTCCTTTGTCCGATGGAGATAGGCAGGTATGCCCTGCAAAATATCACAGACGGTATAAGGGATGAGAAGTAGCACTAAGATGTGTCAAATTGCTGCATCTGACATGATATATATTATTAGCAACAGAAAGAAAAAGTTTGATAGAGAGTGAAAGGCTAGTGTTGGACAGGTGGTATGTGGAAGTGCAGTTCAACAGTGAGGGTAGACATAAACTCATCGTGATTGTTCCACTTCCCTCTATATCACCTGCAGTGATATGGCTGCAGCGAGAGTTTTGATATTCCTTTGAAGGAGTCACAGGTGTGATTCCACCAGGCTAATGCAGTTGGCTGTTGCATTAGGGGAAGACAATGACCTCAGCAACAGTCTGTTGCTGTTACTATTATTGCTATTATTGTTGTCATGAGAAGTGTAAACAAGGGCAGACCTAGGTTCATGACTGCTATGTGGGTACCTCCTCACAAGATTTCAGTGAGGACTGCTCCATGTTTGCACAGTAATGTCCTTAACCAACTTTGACCTCACATAATTATTCAGCTGTCAAGTTAATTTCCATTAAGACATTAATTTTATGAAAACTGTCTTTTTACAAAAATTATGTCAAGAATTAAGAACTGACAGAGGTTATAAAGTTGTGTTAAGCGGGAAAAAAAGACAAAGCTCACCTTAGACAATAATACTTTTCTTTTGTATATGTTTTAAAAGTTAGTCCAGATTCTTTTGGGAATACCTAAAAGAACTACTATGGCTTCCTTTATTACTTTTTTCCCTTCCACAGGACATAACACATACCTAGATTAAAAGTCACTGTAGTTGCCCTCTGCTTGCCTGTTTTAATGGTATAACCAGTTGTTTTCAACTACAGATTCTGCTACAGGAACAAAATTTGGGTATAAGGTATAAATTCAATGTTCCCATCTCTCGCACTGGCAGTGGAGACAATGAAGTTGGCTTTGCATGGAATCACCTGCCTTGGTCAGAATGTTCTGCCACTTGTGCCGGAGGTAAGACACTAGGCAGTTAAGCTACAGGGTAAACTGAATTGCAAGATACACTTTACTACGTAATTATCTAGGTAACTAATTGAAAACATTTCTTTCAGACATGCCTCAAACCTTAATTTAGTGAAAGAACATTTATCACAATGCATTTTGTTGTTTTCAAGTACATTTACTGTGTTCAGATGTTTTTGTTAAATACAGTGTATCTTGGCATAGTCCCTCTCTGCTGATGCTTTTTCTGAGATTCTCTTGAAGCTGGTACGTTTGCTTTTCACAGGAGCTTTCTTGATAAAGGACATCAGAAGTTTTAAGTAAGGAGATTAAAAACCAGAAGGCAAATAAGGCAACTGTAATAAAGGGGTGTGTCTGTGTGTAATTGTAGGTGTGCTTCACATGATCCTAGTCAGCCCTCCTATCCTCCAGCCACCAAAGTTTGAGAAGCATACTGGCAGCTCCTCTGTAGCAGATGATAACAACTGGATTATATTCCCAGCCCATAGCAGCATCTGAGAATTGTTGCCCTTTGGCAGCGGTGGGGAATTTGTAGGTTGTCCCATGTGATTCATCATGGGTGCCTTTTGCCCACAATTTACTATATTCCTAATCCTCCCTCTAGTGGCCACCAATGCAATTCTTTACCTCTGGCTGGGAGAGCAGGACAGTTGGCTTCCTTCGAAGCCAACACCTTTGCTGCTGCAAGGACTGGTGAGTAGAAGTGCTGTGTGAACAGTATCTTTCTTCTCTCTGGAGACTGAATGCATCATCCCCCAGCATACCTCAGTTTCAGAAGATGTCGGAGAGGGCTTTTAGTCCTTGTCAGAATTTCAGTTTTCTACTGCACTGTGCATTGCCCATAGCAACAGGAAGAGACTATATTTTTTTAAAGAACCTTTGGACCAAATATTTGTCCTTTTCTTTTTTTTCTGCCTACTGGAGATATTCATGTTTAGAACCATCTTGACTCATCTTTCTGATGGAACCTGCTGTGGCTGTTACTAGTTGTTTGCTGTTTAAATACAGCTGTTTGCCTAGCCATATGTAACACACAAAGGACAGCAGAAATTCTCTTCTGTGCCGCTAAATAGAGAAAATCTTGAAACAAAATAGAGGAAGGTGCCAACTTTATCCAATATTTTTATCGTTGATTTGTTGGATTCCTGGGTGACAGATTGCTACAGAGTGACAGTTAACTACTATTTTAGTAATGGCGAGTCTGATAGGAAAAGGAACATTTTAAAGAAGAAGTATAAAGAGAGGAAGTGCCTAGCTCATAGCAAAAGACAATTCCAAGTATCAGAACCTTACTGCCAAATCCTATTTTTATGATGGCAATGAGTTAATGATCTTTTTGAAGTCATGGGAAAACAAACTCCCACTGTTTAGGTAGAGACAAGATTAGCCATGGATCTTCTGTCACGCAGGTTGTTGTCATTTCACAGATTTGACAATATACAATGGAAAAAATAATTGGCTCTGAAGGAGTAGGCACTTTTCTAGATTAAAATATTTTTACTTAAGTAATTAACTTTTAAGGGAAGATTTGTGAATCCCTGAAAACTGCATACATTTATTCATTTGAAACTTTTTTTGGGAGGAAAGATTTTCTTCAGTAGCTTATAGTGGCTAAACCAGGCACTTTTCCCTCCTTCCTTTCAGATTAGTATGAAGACCTACTATGGTCACTTATTTTCACTGAGCTCTGTGCTCAGGGAATAAATTATAGGTATAATTCATGTTAAAAACTGTATCTGCTTTCTCCATATTAGTGCCTGCTCTTCCCCCCCAGTTTATGAAACACCTTTTGCCATATGCCAAAAGAAGACACAATTCTAAAAAGGAGCTGAGTCAGGGAAAAAGAAAAGGGAGACAAAGGTTGTAGAGACAGAGACTGTAATTGGAAAATTTGGCTAATACAAATACAAAGTGTTGAGAAAACTTAGAAATTAAACCACTGCATGGCTTTGTTTATTTCTATAGGATTCATAATGAAGTCCATTATTGAAGTTCTATTTATTTGAACTCTGCCTTTAGAAGAGACATTTTGCTCTACATCAAAGGGTAACAAAATACTAAGCAGTTAAAGAATTTCTCTCAAAAGTAAAAAAAGGACAATAAACATGTGTGAAGAATATTAGTATGGAAATTATTTTTTATTTATGAGGTTAAAAAATTATATAGTGACTTTGGGACAGACTGTGAACAAGTTAAAGGCATCAACATTTTCCTGCCTCTTACTGTAGTTGGTGTAGCTCACCTGTGGTGCATGAACTGATCAAGGTTTGATCATATGATATTCCATCTTGATCCAGGAAAGCTCTAGATGATGTAGAGCCAGACTTTTATATCAAAGCTGTAGGCAAATCTAAATTCTAATCAACACACTTAACTTCTGTCCATCTCTGAACATGTCTGTATTTTAATGTTATGTCTTTTTGTCTAGGTATATGTAACACTTAAAAAGCTGTCTTAAAAGAACATCAAATTTGCAAGTGTTTAGAAGCCAAGAAATGTCAGAATTAAGGATGACTATGAAATCTTAAGTTGTTTCCTGTAGTTGTGGCTGTTCTATGAAACAGGGACCAGTTGAGCAGGCACCATTCTCTGAGGCTGTGTAACAGGCTAGCTCATGTTCACTCCACACTACTTAAGTCTAGTTCTCTCTGAATCAGACTGACTGTATCTGCATTACATACCAGTTGACCAAATCTGTGACTCTTAAAACATAGTTATTACTTGACGTATGTTTTTTAATTCAAAGAATCTAAAAAATAAAAGGTGAGAACTGCATTACAGCCCACCAAAGTGATGTTTCTGTATTGTGAACTTGAGGCTATGTGTTGAATGTCATGAAGTAGAGCACGAAGGCTGGAGCAGCATTTTGGCAGTGCAACGTTTAAATCGTTTTGGAGTATTGTATATTGTAGAAGTGTCTGATCTTTGTGCAGTCTCTTCTTCATAGTGTTTTGAGAACAATCTACTGCATTCAGCTGTTCCTAGAGCTGCTTGTAGGCCTGGTTTTGGAGATGGATAACTAGAGCAGTCAGGAGCCAACGAGCAAACTAAGAGCAAGCTAGGAGCAACCTACAATCTTTAATTAGATGGTAATGTGCTGTCTTTTCCACTGGACTTCTATATTATGTTCATCTCTGCTGTGCTGATGAGTCATATCTGAACAGTAAAAGTGCTTTAACTTTTCAAACAGGATCTCTGTTCTCGGGCCTGTCTCAGTTTTGCAGAATAGGAAGAGCATGGTAAACGGAACGGTAGGAAGGAGGAGGAGGGTTTCCTGCTTACGACAGCTCAATGTGCCAGAGCTCTGGATTCCATTCTTGCCTCCCTTGTGTGGTTCTCCTGTGATACTGAGCAACTCAAAGCACACATTACGGTCTTACTTGCTAATTATCAGTTCATCATTATATGGGTACCTCTCTGGAATGTCCAACCTCCGAAGCACGCAATGAATTTCATCATTGCATGAAGTGTGTGTAAAGCAAAGTATTCTGAAAACTCAGCCAGGCACCTGAAATTAATGGACTCTTTCCAGAGTAGACATTATACCTCCTCTCTTCCTGTATTCTTCATAGAGTGGTCTAGGAGATAAATTAAAGTTTGTGAAACAAACAGTTACATGTTTAGATTGCCTCTAAAAAGCAGAATGAAGTTAGTCTTTCTTTCATGAGAGATTGTAAACTGTGTATTTAGCAGTGTCATTCATGTTAAAGGAGAAAAGAACAAAATACTGCATCGTTTCTTTGCCAGTGAGCATCATGTTCTGTACGGTGAACCAAGCAGAAATCAAGTCTTCAATGTCTGAGGTGTATTTTGGTGTTTTCAAGTTTTTCTAAAAATAGGTTCTTCAGATTTAGCAGGTAGTTAAAAAGGCTTGCCTGGTAACAGACAACTCTTTTATTTTCCTGGATTAACATACTCATATGTAGGATGAGAATATAATTTCATTCATTTTTAATATCTCTTAGTATCTGTTTTTAGGCTTGGAAATCCAGAATTGCAGCTTTTCATTTTGTACACTAAAACCAATATTTTCTATTATGAAAAACTTCTCTTTAAAATACAAATTTTTAGTATCTGAGCTAGTTCTTCCTCTCTGGGAACATTATGTAAAACTGAGCTACATGCATTCTCCATATTAATTCACTTTTTTCCTGAAAGTTCACTGATAACTGTTCTAGTCTGATTCAAGAGTTTTCAGAAGGAAAGTTTGTTACTATTTCATATAGGTCTTTATAACTGGTGGCAGGCTTGAACAAGACTACAGGAAGACAATGCCAGAGAATACGAGAATGTTCAGTGCAAGAGTGGGAGAGGAGAGAACACGGGGAATTCAGAAGGAATGGATGGATAAACAGTTCGCTGGAATTCAGAAAAAATTGATGACAACAACAGAAGATTTTTTTTAAGGACCTGATTACTTTATTATTTAATGAGAAAATCTGAGAAAGGGAAAACTAGAATACGTGGAAATAGAAAATAAAACAATAAAATGAGGGCTGGAAAGAGAAGAGGAAAGTGCTAAAATAGGAAAGGGTGATATATATCAATTATAGATCACAGAACTGTAATTTATTTACTCTCGTGCCTGTCTGTCTTTATATGTTATCTTGTAGCTCTCCAAGGGCAAGTGTATGACTTTTTCCAGATCCATAAGTATTCTTAATAAGGAATTGAACTGCTGGTGGTGGTGTTTAAAAAAATCCAACAAAGGAAAAAAAAATCCTTCTGTGTGTTTTTACTTTTGTATACATTTAATAATAAACTTCAGTAAGTGCATACCCCCCTTTTTTAAATGTCTTCCATGCTTAATAAATTCTAGCAGTAAATGGCAACAAATGACAGCATTTATTATCTGGAATTTACCAGGTATCCTAAGGTATTGGTTTTGATTTCATTCATTCTATTAGAGTTCATCTCCAGATGAGTTAAGTGTCTTAGATATTCCTGGCTTTTTATGAAATAGTCAGTCAGTATACTATTATAAGTAAATT